AAAAGGAGTACAAATATCGTTATAGACTACAGATCTATCTAGAAAATTCCCGACTTGTCAAGCGAATAATATCATTTCGAAGCGGAAAAAGCCAACGAGTCACGTAGAAAAATCCAAGCATATTTCGGGTATGTTTCAAGTATATTACGATAATTATATTATAAATAGCCGGTTATTATATTATAACAAACCTTTCTTTACCTAGATTGAACTACTCTAGACCTTCACCCGCTACTAGTTTCATCCAAACGATTTGAATAACGCGGGGGTATGTTTCAGGGGAAAATTTCAGGCTATGTTTTGGGGTCCTCCAAGACTGCAAATTCAACCCCCAAAAAAAGACAGACCCATTTGGCTCGGCGGTTACATAGACTCACTTATGAATATTATGCTTTTTCGCAAATAATTATGACAAGCCGTTCTTGGAAGAATTCCGTCATCTTGTTGTGTTGCCCATGCCAATATCAAGATACTATTGCCAATATCAATAGCATTGACAACAACACCCATATCTGAATCGTTATGTCACCATCACCATCACCTAGGCAAAATCATCAACATCATTGTCATCATCAGTGTTATCATCACCGCCATCATCGAAAGCATCATCATCATCATCATCACCATCATCACCATCACCACCATCACCACCATCACCACCATCACCATCATCAGCATCATCATCATCATCATCATCACCATCATCATTCATGATGAACACAACCAGTACAAAAGTTTTATAGTAGTCGTCATCATCATGATCGCCACAGATCAGCATGACACTCTCCTTGGCTCTAGTAATTCTAGTGCCAGTGCTTGCCAGTCCCCAGGCCCGGGCTACTTTTGCTCTCCAATCTTTTCCTGCTTCCCATAGCTCTTCGAGTCGGTCACACCGGGACTGCCGAAGCAGCAGCTGTTCCGGCACGGGCCTGGAATTTGGGGACGAAGGTCTTCGCGGTTCGTTGCCGGGCTTGTCCAACTTAAGATGAGGCCAGGGCTTCACGATTTGACTTTCGATCGCAGCTGAATGTTTTCATGGAAATCCCTTTTCAGACATGAACTGAAACTTCGAAGATGAGGCAAGGGCAACATCCCGACTTCGTTCAACAGTTGCTCCAGGTAGACATACCTTGTGCCATTTGCAAAGATGCCAGCACTCAGAAGTGCCATGGCCTTCCAATCCATTGCTTGCAGTTCGAGACTCTCCGGTGCCAGGAGCTCCTCGCAGGAGCTGAGAGAAGGCATGAGACACGAGTACGCAGCACTTCGCTCCAGGGTCCTTGAACTGCCGGACAAGCGTGGCATTGTGGCACAGGTCCGTGCGATGTCCAGGGCGGTGGTTGTGCCGCGTCAATCGGCCCCACTCAGGAGCCGGAAGCCCAAGAAAGTGCAGGGTGCTGTAAAATGCATTCGGGGCTTGCAGACGCAGATGCTCTTGATGCAGTACGGCCAGTCTCTGGTGAAAAAGACGCTGCACGTGCTCCAGATGCCTCCGTACCTCAAGCCCCAGAACCAGCCCGGGCAAAAAACATATTGACCCTTCTTCGGAGACCATGTTTCTGGGAGCGTTCATAACTTCGCGCCTCAAAACGTCTGAGGAATTGCAGATCCTCCAGGACGCTGGAAATGCTGCCGAAGCAGGTGCCCGGTGTGCGCAGCAGCGGGCCTGCCTCTGGGTGCGGCAGCGGAGGGTTACATATATGATACCACCAGAAAGCCTTGTCAATACGGCTCAACGGATCGCAAACAACAAGCAAGACTCGCAAGCGCTGAATACGGGCTAGAGCCATGCGCACACGAAGGTGTGCCCACAAGCTTGGATGTCTCAGCCCTTTTAAAGTTGACGGACTCCGCCACTGTGAGTTGAAAGCCTGGACCTCAGACACGTAAGGCAACAGCCTGTCGTGCGAAAAAAACGACGCATCTTCTTCGCCACCTCGACTAAACTCCACCTCCTCCAGCTGCTGCAACCAGCGGCCAAGAGAAGTGGTGCCACAGTTGTCAACTCCAGCGATGACGAAGTCTATTTGAAACTTCGACCAATGAGAAAGCTCCTCAATCTGGGCTTCAACCCTAGTTGGCACCGGAAATGCCAGGGCGGCACCGAGGACGTGCATCAAATATCCTCGCTGGTCAAGAGAAATTATGCACCATGTCTCTCCCGCGACGCACACGACACAATCGCTCACCGACTTGGAAAGCTTGGTTTATCTTAGAAGGCATACATATGGGTGTGCTTTTGTACATATATATATATATATATTTTTGTGTGTTGGGCTCTTCCGAACTTGCCAGGGCTCTGCTCAGAAGCTCCTCCCTAACCTCCCCAGCAGAGCACAGCTCTGGAGCGCAGAGGCCCACGTGCACCACGGGTGCCAACGCCTCAACTTTTGCCGGCAGCTCAGAGCACCCTTCGCAATCCAGCTGCGATGTTGTCTCAATCCAGCTGCGAAAGTACAGTTCGCGATCCAGCGAAAGCTCCCAATATCTTGCTCCTGTCAGAACCGCTCGCACACTCACGCAGTCAGTCATGGTCATGTCACATGTCATTGCGGCCCTAAGAAGCCCGCTTCCGAAAAGACTGCTCCGGGTGTCCCGCACCCCAACAGGTGGAGGCACAGACCTCCGACAAGTTCAGGAGGTACTCGGCATAGTGGCCGGGCCGCTCGTCCGTTTGAAGACCCCCACGCCAATAGTCAACTTTGGCAGCAGTGGCTGCCCCAGATGCACTCACCAGATCCTCGAAACTGCGGAAAAACTCCTCGCCGCAGGACCATGCCGGCGGCGTTGGCGACGCCATTCAGGAGCAAAGCAAGAAGATCTCAGCCGAAAGGCAAGCGAGAACGAAGCAAAGCGAACGAACATGAGCGAACATGCTCTGGTGTGGGGAAGGAAAGGAAGCGACCTGGAAAGGTCCTGGGGCCCAAGTGCCTTTTCAAGACTGGCATGACAGCTTAGGCCTAAGCCTGGTATCATCAAGACCATATTAGGCCGTCTTTGGGATCACTCGATGAACGAAACTCACCTGTTATATTCAATGCTCTTTTGGAAATATGTTGCACGTGTTTGCATTGCCAGACTCCCAGCAAAGTAGAAGTCCGTCCACCGGCAGACTTGGAACGAATGCTGTCCTTATAGTAGTCGGCCTCCACGTCCAATCCCGGCAAAGGTATGGTCCCGGGCTATGGAAGTCGCGGCGCCCAGTGTCGGACGCGCATGCGCGGAACCCTCGACAGAGTCCCAGGAATCTGCTGACCAATAAGGCCGTTCGACGGCAGCACAACCTGTGCCCAGGCACAAAGCAGGGCGAACATTCCTTTTTCTGGTGTTGCTGAAGCGCTGGCTGCCTTCTTCGTGAGCATAAAGACTGCCTCAGGGGGCCATCGGGGGGGCTCTTGGGGCTAAGGTCGCCTCGACGACAAATTGGTAGAGGTTGCATACAAGACGGAGCCTACTGTAATCTGCACGCAGAAGTACTCACGGCACAAGCTGGAACAAAAGCAGGCCGTGAAAGTGCTGCAAGTAGTCGTGATTGGCATTCTGTTCCTTGGTCGTCAAAGCACGGGAAGATGATGCCGTCGGGCCATGACAGAGCCATCAGCAATGACGAATATTCAATACTGACTGACTGCTCAAGGCTGCGGGGGAGTGCATGGGCACCGATCGGTTCTGCTCCCTACAAGCAGCAGGAGTAAAAAGCAGGAGCTTGAAGCCCTCCAAACCTTTCGAATATCGAAAAAGGAATATCGAAAAAGACAAACGGGCTGCCCCTCCTTTGACCTCAAAGGCACTGGAATAAGACCTGATGGCATGCTGGGACCATGTCAGCCCACTTCGAAAATTACAGGTTGCTCAGCGAAGGGCGACCCATGGCACCTAAGAAGTAGCAAGACGCACAAAGATGGCGCTGCAGACAAACTATTCGGAGTTGCGGGATGAAAACCTCACACATGTGCACACAGAATCTATCAGCTCGCCCCAGCAGACTCAGAAACACCACGCTCCCCTTTCCAATGTAAGCGGAGTTGCAGCGCAGACTGTGTAAGGCAGGACTCTGATCACGGCCTTCTGCCACTGTGAGAATCAAGGCGGATGCGGCTTCCCGGTTCCCACTCCCTTCACATGCGCAGATGGCCGCCTCAAAGCTGGTCATGTCGGGCACGACCCGCGCGCTGCACGTGCGGAACAACAAGAGCAAAGCCGTCTCCCACTTCCCACGCTTCTGGCAGGCGCTGATGGCAGCGTTGAAGCTGATCACATCTGCCGGCAGTCGAGCCAACAGCATGCGAGACAGCAGGAGCACAGAGACCAGCCATTCTCCACTTGTCTCACAGGCGCTGATGGCAGCGTTGGAGCTGATTACGTTTGAAGAAACTCTGACTGCAGGCATTTGCGACAAGCAAAGCAAAGCCTGGTGCCAATCGCCACCTTTCTCGCAAGCGCTGATCATGGCGTTGCAGCTGATCACATCCGCCGAGACCTGCTCTGCAGGCATTTGCAACAACAAATGCAAGGCCATCTGCCAAACGCCGCGTTTTTCGCAAGCACTGATGGATGCATTAAAGCCAATCGCACTCGCTGGAGTTCGAGACCCGAGCATGCAGGACAAAAGGCGCACTGCCACCTGCCAGTTGCCACCTTTCTCGCAAGCACTGATGGCAGCACTGTAGCTAATCGTATTCGCCACCAGCCTGGCTTGTGGCATTGACCACAGCAAGCACAAAGCCAACTGCCATTCTCCTCTCTTTTCGCACGCGCTGATGGTCGCATTGCAGCTGATCACGTCTGCGAAAAGTCTGATGACCGGCATCTGCCAGAGCAACAGCAAGGCTGCTTGCCATTTGCCGCTTCTTTCGCAGGCACTGATGGCAGCGTTGAAGCTGATCAGGTCCGTCTGGGGACTTTGTAACGGCATTTGGGACAACAACAGCAAGGCCGTCTTCCAGTCGCTGCCTTTTCCGCAAGCACTGATTGCAGCGCCGCAGCTGACCACATCCGTCGGTACTTGAGCGATGGACATCTGGGACAACAAGCCCAGCACCATTTGCCAACTGCCTGAATTTTCACATGCACTGATGGCAGCACTGAAGCTGATAGCGTTTGGCGAGATTCGGCCTGAGACCATTTGCGAAAAGAGAAGCAACGCCAGCTGCCAGTTTTCTGTCTTGCAGGCGCTGAGGCCAGCGCTAAGGGTGACCTGATTCCAAGACACTTGGTATTCCCGCATTTCCGAGAGCGTCGCGATTGCCGCCTGCCACTGCAAGCCTCTATGCAAGCCTGTGATGGAGGCACTGAAGCAATAGACGGTAGGCACCATTCGACGGTCCATGACATCCGCCAGGACCTGGACAGCGGCTTGCCACCTGCCTCCACAGCTGCTAATGGCTTTGCGAAACATTGCTTGGTCTCTGGAGCCATGAAGCAAAGCTTGCTGCCACGAAGTGGTACCCTGGGCCTCTGGCACCATGGTCCCCTGCCCAAATGCCTCGGCTCTCCAACCGGCATCGCTGATGGCCAGCCTCAGCTTCCGCCTCACCGTCTCACGTCGATGCCACAAGGCTCAGCCTAGAGAAGTTCTGAGCCAGACTCGGAGCAAGGCAGATCACTTCTCGTGGAGTGGGTGGCCTTGGCCGGGGCATGCCGATTTATTACTCGCCCCGTCCCTGCCGCTTTCGGAAGTGTTTGTGCAAGGTATCACGAGGTTGGACATTTACCAGTACACCGGACGTTGAATGATACTCAAGCACACATGATTGAATGCACTGGTGCGACACACGGCGGTTGTGTGCAGTTGCAAAAATTATTGGTCCGGTCGTTTGTATCCAACCTTAGCAAAGTTCGTATGTCTTATCCTGTTTTACCGTTCTCGTCAAGGAGTGCTTCAACGGCCCGGCATTGCGAGGAAACGAAAGCCTGTCCTTCACTTGCTGTTTGACTGTTGTTTTGGCATGCTTCGTCTCCATTTCACCGTGCTCTCATGCGCAACTTCCGGGCCAGATCGAACCTACAAACAAGCGAATGTTCTGGAAATGCCTCTTGCTGTCACGCTGTCCCTTCACGACTTACTGCAGCAGCAAGCACTCGGTTTTTCCGACATGCTATCAGTGTCAGGCTTCACGCTTCTCAGCGGCTTGTAAGGTCCCAGGCGTGGGATGCAGCCAAAGTAAAGTGGTCGGTGTCTGCGAGGTGGAGAGGGCGGCACTGAAAGGTCAGCGACCACCAGGCCGCCAGGCGCTCGTTTCGTAGGAAGCGCGCCGCAAGGTTGGCGCGCGGCACTGCGGGTGCCACATAGGCCAATGCCAAGGACACGTGGCCCAAGTCCAGGCGGTGCTTGTTTGGCGAGAGGCTTCCAAGGAGGCCACGGGGCACAGAGGGGCTCTGAGAGGGCTCTGCCCAGCTGAGAAGCTCGACGGCACGGTCGTCCATTGCCACGAGGCCACCGACAGCTAGGCCGCAAGCAGCCAGGTGCGCTGCGACACTCCGCCCCACTGCAGCGCCGAAACTGTGTCCACAAAGTATCAGTTGAGGGGCACTGAAAGCGCTGAGGGCGGACAAGGCGGACATCACGCCGCACGGTAGCGATGTTCGCAGGCACTCCTCCACGGGCTGCAGCAAGACAAGCTGCAGCCAGGAAGTCTGAGCGAGCTCCTCGTAGCAAGGGCCCCGGACACGTGCAGCACCACCAAGGACGAGCATGAGGCCTCTGGGATCTGTCTCTGAGGCTCCGAGCCGCGCGGCACACGCGGCACGCACAGCAGCGGCCCTCCGAGGCCTCCGAGGCCTCAAAGCCTTCGACCGACGGAGCAGAAGCGGCGGCGGCCTTCTGCTCCACTCCGGCTCCGGCCGGCCCGGGGGAGCTCTGGTAGTTTCAGGCGTAAGGACGTAAGGCTCAATAAGCGAAGTGAAGAAGTGAAGGGGAACAGCGAGAGGTGATCAGCCAGTTACAGCTAGTTGTCTTTGATCCATGTCTGCTGCTTCACCATGGGAAACAAAGAGACATCTCAAGAGTGTCAAAGCTAGGCCCAGCTTACAGCACTGTGCTGCCACTGGCGTTCCACCGTGCACCATGGACGCTCATGACATGACTCCTTGCGTTTGTCTTGGGGAACTTTGTCTGGTCAAACGTCATCTGGGCCCTGCAGAGCTCTTCGCTGGAAGCCATGCAGATTGACAACGGCTGGCAGTCACCGCTCCTTTTGCACGCAAAGCTGGAACATGCCTGGCACTTACAAGCCTGGAGCTGTCCAGAGATCTTGCATCAAGAATGCACTGCAAACTCGTCCTTGACTCCGGAAGGTCACCGGGCACAAGAGCATTGCAGCGCCTCCATCAGCGAGAAAGCTCCGAGTCTCGATCAACCGATGCACCCGCTGCCAAAGCGCACCCGGTTCAGTAGCCAGGAGTCCAACTTCCCAGAATGGAACTCAACCTTTCGCAACATCACTGCGCCGGAACTTGGCTCCTTGTGCCTGAGCGCCTCAGACCTGGAAGACTGGTGCTCCATTACATCGTCAGGGGCAGCTCATGACAGGGGAGGAGGAGCCAGGTGGTAGGTGGTGTTTCGGTGGATCCTTGCGGGAATCTGCTCTTCTTGGGTTCAGTAGCTGAGCTCACTGAGCTGGGCCGCAGAAAAGCGCAACTTGCAGTATTTCCAAACGCAAACGAACGGCGGTTAACGAAGAGCGGTCCTCAGCTCACTGCAATGCACGGACTGGGTCCTGCATCAGCTTTCGCCCAGTGCCAGGGCCAGTTCAGCATCGTCTGCCTCTCTCACACCACGCAACACGGACGGAGTCACTGTGCCGTCATAGTCAGGTCTTTCCAATCCTTCCAGGTTGAGACTTCAGGGACCTGACGGTGCAGGAGTTCACCATCAGGCACGCCGCCAGGCCTTGGCCACGGCCCAGCGCAGGCAGCGCAGGCAGCTCCAGGGCCCCCATCTCGGAGAGATGGGGGACATCGGCATGGATGCTCCTGGTGGACTCTAAGCAAGGCCTCCTTCCGCCAAGCCTCTGGCACTCAGATGAAAGGGTCATCAGCTCAAAAGGCCTGTTCTTCTCAAGTCGGACAGCTAGCCGGCTAGAACCCGGCTAGAGCCCGGCTAGCCAGGCCGGCTGTCTGGGTATGACTGGAAAAGCTTCAACCCTTCAGGCGGCTCTGCAGCCTACGGCACGACTTGCACAGACTTCACGAATCACAGGAGCACGGGCGGCGCAGGGGGGTCCATACAAGACCTCGATATCACCGTGACCGTGACTGAGACTGACTCTGCTCAGCTGCTCAGCACTGCGATCGCCGTGGGCATCTGCCCCCCACACATTGACATGCTGCTGCAGAGGGCTCGCCGCTCACGGGCCGAAACCGGTCGCGTCTCTCACAACGCTCCACGGCCCAGTCATGGTGCCTAAAATTCGCGCCTAACATCTGCAACAGTGACCTCCATGTCCTTGTGACATAGCTGCAGGTAGCATCTGCATTCTTCGACTCAATCTGGCCGACGCAGACACTGCCGCCGCAAGTGCCTGGGGGCAGAAACACTCAGGCAGGAAACCATCACAGAAACAAGCAGGTCTGTTGTTCGCAGGCTCGCTCTGCCTCGCTTCCTGCTGGCCTTCGGCTCGCTCGCTCTCGCTCTCTCTGTCTCTCTCGCCCTCTCGCTGTGGTTGTTGCTGGATCTGTTGCTGTTGCTATTGCCGTTAGCGATTGGTGGTGCTGCGGGCAGGGGCGGGGCGGGGGTGGGGGAGTGGGCGCTCAGTGTTTGTGTTGCTGCTGAAAGCAATGTCAATGTCACGACGTCACAGCGCATGTCAGTGCCAATGCCACCCGCAAAAGGAATGTGAATGTTGACATTGCCATGTCGTGAAAACGTTGCTACTGTTCTTGATGTTGCTACGTTCATGTACATTAACTGTGCTAGTGTTGTTGCTGCTGCTGGTTAACGCTGTTACTGGGCCGCTTGCTGGTGCTGCTGCTGGCGCTACTGCGCTGACACTGGGTCACTGGGCCTGGTGCTGGGGTGCCGTCGGTTGGCGCTGCAGGTGGTGCTGGTGCTGGTGGTGTGGTGTGTGCTGGCGGGTGCTGCTGGTGGTGCTAGTGTCAAGAACCCGATCAAAGAGCGAGGACAACGTGTCGAATTGAAACAGCTCACCTCCCCCATCCTGCCTTCAGGATGGAGTGACATGCCAAAAGCGCAGGTCAGCATGTCGGAGGCATGGCGCAGCAGCATCGGACTGTGGAAAGGCAGCGCGGCAAGACCATTACGGTTTCGGATTCATGTTCTGGGCTGGGGCTTGATCGTAGAAGTCCTCCTGGGCCGTGGCCACGGCACTGTTGCAGTCAACACGTGAGTTCAGTGCCGCAGCGGCACAGGATGGCGTCCACAGCGATATCCTCCCATTCGATCAGCGAGCCTCCAGAAATCATCCATGTGCTTCACATATGCATAGTTTGATCCGGCATCTACTCATCTGCACATGTGAATCATGTGAACGGGTTGCTTGCGCATGTGCGTATAATTATGAAAAAAGTGCATCCGCTCATCCGTCCACCCATGCATGCATGCATACACAATCATGCATATATAAGCATACTCACATACATACAAGCATGCATACGCTCGCCATACATACATTGCGTTACACTGCATTACGTGACATTACATCACGCTACATTGCTTTGAACTACACTACATTACATTACACTACACTGCATTACAATGCACTACAGTACATTACACTACCTTACACTACATTACACTACATTACCCTACATTACGCTACAGTACGCTACATTAATTAAACTACACCAGACTACATTACACTACACTACGTTACACTACATCACATTGCATTGCATATTGCAATACATTGGCATTACAATGCATGACACTGCTTTACATTGCACTGCATTGTATTCCATTGCATTACTTTAAGTTACATGAGAGTCATACTTCCACTGTGATCGCGGGGCTGTGCGTAGTCCGTGCCTTGCGCAGTACAAGGGCTGGAATGTTTGTTTGCATACCAATTGTGAAATACATTGCGCCAAGTGCAACATTCCTGGAACCGTTTAGGTTGGATTCTTAGCCGCAATGACGGAAGTTGCGAACGCTTTGTTTCTCGTTGCATCTTTGATCTGCTCTTGGAGTTCAACCCTTGCCAGCATTTTGCGTGCACACCCTGCTGGCTTTACAAGTTGACTCCTTTCACAGTATGACCAAGCTCATGGCGTGCAAACCCGCTATGCGCGGACATTATGAGCACTCATCTGCTTGTTGTGAGATGGCCTCGATGTGAGCGAACCAATCCCACAGCAGCCCTGACATTGAGACATCACTAAACCTGTCTTGACATCCTACGTATCCGCACTACACTAGCTCGAACTCTGCAAAGCTATGCCTCCGTCAATCCATCCATCCAGACATAGACGCATCAAATGGCGTAGACACATAGATCATAGAGACATACT